CATGAAATACATCAAATCCCTATGCCTCATCGATGAATTAATTCGCCCCAAAGCATCTCTTTTTCTCTGTGCTCTACCTAACCGCGTCGCTTTAAAAGTGCAATTTGGCTTCTGTTACCAACCGCTTTCATTGGTTCTCACATCCTTCAGCAATTTCTTATTCCAGCCCCATTAGATAATGTTCGAAAAAATCCTTGTGGTCGGATTAACATGCGTTGATGTTGTCAACTATATGGACAAATTTCCATCTGAAGATAGCGATAATCGAGTTACTAAGCAAGTAATAATTCACTTTCAAAATCAAAATCGTGTTTTTTCTCCTCTTCACTGTGAGTGTTCACTTATATCATCACTGAATCATTTATGCTCCAGGATGTTTTCAGATTTGGTCACTTGGCGGAAATGCGGCGAATAATGTGACCGTTCTGAATCAGTTGAACTCGCATACTGTTTTATTCTCTGCTTTGCCAACGAATAATCCACTTGTTGAGGGGTTCACAGCGATTTCATTTATTCGTTCTGTTGATTTTCATTCCGTTAATTGATAATCGGTTACTGTTTCCGAATGAAAATGATTAATTCTACTTTCATCAAATCGATATGTCTCGTTCAGTTTACTGCAAAAGAACTCGATCCGTTGTGAGCGATGTATTCTTCGAAATCAGAGCGATGTTCCTCTATCCACTATAATCGTCAATGAAACGTCCGGCACTCGCACAGTACTCCATTACAGGTCTGTTCTATTTGGTTCATTCATTTACATTTTTATTTTTCGGTTTTATGAAGGAATATTCCCGTCTGATAATCTTTATGCATTCCACCAATAGTTATTGATAAGAAAAATCACTGAATGATAGTTAGCAAATCCCGTCAAATGAACACAACTTTTTGCAAAAACTAAACTACAAGAAGGTTCATTTAACTGCTGATACTCATAGAAAGTATCTTCTTTGGTACTAGGTATCTTGTGCTCAAAAGTATTCTAGAGAAAAATCTTTTTATTGAGCAGGTAGATTAGGATTTCAAAAAGAGGCTAAAATGTGATCAATTTTCATACAGGGGACACATGGACGAACTAAGCTGTGATGAATTCAAAAAGACATTTCCGGATATCTTTGAATTCTCATGGATCCATTTCGAAGGTTCGTTTCCTTCATGAAGCGGTAAGGAATGTATTCATAAGCAATGTCCGATTCGCAACTGTCATTAATAAAACGAAATCAAGCCTAAGCACTGCAACAAATTCTATTCATCTTCTATAATTTAACAGTACTTACATTGCTGTTTGATATTATCCATAAACATTTCTTCAGTTATGAAATGCTGCACTGTGAGGATCACGTTTTTATTTGTTAATGTCTCTGCAATTCCTACTGACAGAATAATATGATACGATTCATCTGATTTCAGGACGTAATTTTGACGAGGTTTTAAAAATGATTGAATATGTCCGTGCTCAACGAGGTGATGATCATTTGTTACCGCGCATTTCAGTTGAATGTGAAAAACTGCGACCATACGTAACAATGGAACGTGCGATCCCACTCGTCAATGTCGTATTTGTTTCGAAAGATTTTGCAAGGTTATTTTGTGTGCTTTCATCAATAAAATGAAACAGTTCACTTGCAATTTTTTTGTTGACTAATTGAGTATCAAAATTAAGATGCAAAGGCTTCACGAATAAGGAATGTGCTGTTGATGGTATTCGAAAATTGTTCGGTGTATCTGAATCAACGATTGTTTGTCCGTGGGCCGAAAAGGTTCTTATGTTCTACGTATCTGCACCTTTTTCTGCAGTCCAGTTATTAATTTTCAACAGAATGTTGGTGTCAGCTGGAATTGAAATTACTGATGGATAGAATCGATACTTTGACATCAGCGCTCTTTGTTTCGGTACTCTGCACCAGCTGTGATGTGCCGATCAGTCGACCTAGGTCTAGACTCAGTCTGGGCTTAAGCCTGACAATGAGCCTGAATCTAGACTGAGGGCTTAATTGAAGTTTCATTGAAATTATGAGAGGGTGGTCAGCGAGCGTAAAGATCGCGGCTTTATTTACTTCAGATACAGATGACATGATACCTATGGAACTACTAGTTCATGATTTTTTGTAATTCATCTGCGAACTTACGCAAAATCAATCCCTTATACTGTCCTGTCAGACAAACATATTTACTCAATTTGTTCAGAGTGCGGTATTTCTACTGCTCAATTGTTAAGTTATACAGATTTCTGAAGAAGTTGAAAATGAAACGAGCCAAAAAAACGATAATGTTCAGTAGAGAGTGTTGTAATTTGAAGGGTGCTGCCGGACGTGCGAGTGAATCAAGTGAGCTGATAAGTATTGATGCATTCAAATCAAGTTCGCCTGTGATTGATACTTTAGGTGCCGGTGATTGTTTTATAGCGTGTTGCATTCATTACCTGAATGAAGGTCGAGACCTTGAAACAGCTCTCAAAAATGCGTCTCGTCATACTGGTAAAAAGGTCACAAAACGAGGATTGCTTGAACTAGATTTATCATAATTATTGTAAATCATTCCACCGTATTCGTTTTCAACTCAGACACGTATTTTTTCACGAGCTGTACTGTTGAAATATGAATGCACCTCTACAAATTCACTTACTTTATGTTCAGTATGAATAATGTGTAATTTTTAAGTAAAGATCTGAGGAAATCAGTTTTTAGATTTCATCTTTGATCATCGATATGAATGATTCTTTATGTGTTGAAAGCAGTGAATCATTCAAATGAAGAAGCCGTGTTGTATAGGTGCCCAGCTTTCGAGCAAAGGGTTTTGATTTCGGATGAGAGGTTCATGCTGAAAATATTTGTTTTTTGGATAGTTTTGGTGTATTAATGCAGAAATGAAGTGTTCAAAATATTTTCGCTGATGTGATAACTGTTTATAAAGTCGTTCGAATCCGATAGCACTCAAAGAATAAACGCGAAATGCTGAGTTCGTTTGGTTACACGCTGTTTGTAAAGTTAAAAGCCAAATGTTAAATGGATGCCGCTTAATGCTGTTACACTGCGAGTTTGATGAATTTGCTGCAGTCACGGCTTAAATCACTCAAACTCGATGATTTCAAGCGTCATATATTGAAGTATCATTTAATTTCAAAAATCTCATATCCGGATGGATATTTTACTGAAAATATGAAAACCCTCACCATTGTTTCAAATGTGTGTGGTTTAGTGTATAATGCCGACATAATCATCACATTGTTTGCCACACGGTTTCAAAAACAATTCAGAAATTTCGATGTTCTCGTTGAGTGTACACTGATAAAATTAACATGCGGCTTTGCTAAAGTATTCAAACGTTTCGCTATTCAGCGTAATAAAAAAATGACACTAACTTTTACATTACTGTATGTGCTCACGATCAGCATGTATGTATGTGCATCACAAATTTGCCTCATCGTAAACGTGAATGACTTTGATGTGAGTGATGAATAGACATGTGTTTGAGCCATTACATAAACAATTTATAAAGTCACAACAATCAGATATACCCGAACTAACGCGATCTGTGTGAAGGAATCATATGTATATACATATTTGACTTATCAACATCGGCATTATTACGATGTTATTACGATCTGCATTAATTATTTTATTATTATATTTACCTTAAACCTATTCCATTCCAAATATCACCACTAAAATGTTTTTTTTCACCATTAATTACACGCAGTCAATTCGAGATTATCCAATTATTTTTAGAGACAGTTTCTCTTGCCACATTATCTAGATTTTGTATTGCATTGCACTGCAACTTCATTTCGCTGCTTCACTTCACAACTCTCAAACAGTGCTCGAATTTCTGTTTATGCCAAATTGATGAATTATCCTACATCCGGTCAAATCGAGTTAGTCGTTCACAAAATAATTATATTGGAGCACAAATCTTTCTCATACATACGCTCACGATCAGCACGCCCTATCCATGGCAGCTGACTGGTACTAATGAGGTTTCAATATCCATATTGCTTCCTCTTTTGCGAATCTCAGTATGTCGACTGTGTTTTGTCATTCAAAGTAGGCGATTTGACAAATGTAAACATCGTGAACGGCAGTGATCCAGTTTCAATACGTTTCGGCAATTGAAAATGAATAATCGCGGAAAAGCGATTTTAACACGACAGGCCAATAGAATCGGATTACCTCGCAGAGAAAACGTTCAACAATTTGGAGCAAGCACTGGCCTGCATGCGGAATTTTGTGGCTGAACGCATTCGATTCAGTCTCAATTTTTAATGTGATACATAAGAAATTTGATAGTTGTAACAATGTTGCGATTGTTGAATGCTGTTACTAAGGGAAAGCAAAGAATGTAACGAATCTCTTCTCACAGCCATCCTAAAAGCCCCACTGCGTTTTCACAAAATGCTTTCGGATAACTGCAACTCCATTCCCTTTCAACTCATTTATTACACGAAACCTAACTGCAGTATAGGATATGCTGTGTTGTGAATTTAGTTGCACATTTGTTGGTTGTATTGTGGAATTGTTTCTTGATAAAGCAAGACTGCATTTTATTGGCCAACTCTGGATACAAAGTAAACATCTTATTTAGTACTCTATGGGTTGCATGAGGGAAGAGTGTTTTTGCTATGTTCAAGATGGTTTCATTCGGCCAAAATGTTTTCATTTTGCACATACCCATATTATTGATCTCCATCTGTACATTATTCAACCTTTTCCAACCGTTTTGTCTCTCTTTGCTAAACTGATGAAATCCACATCTATGGGAATTGTATTGTTGGAAATAAAATTCGTACTGAACAAGGAGTGTTTCCATATAATGCCTACGACACATTGTGTAAATTGTATCGGATTATATCAAGATTCGCAAGTGCTTAACTGAGAATAATAAGACCTATTGATGATCGTGGTGAGAGACGGTGGTTTGCATAGTGCCGTTTGAATGAATAACTGCGGTTAATTTAAAATATAGCCGAGGCAGTTCAGGGGATTGATCGATATAGAAAATAGAAGATATGCAAAGTTAATGAAAGATGATTTGGTGGAAGAATGTAGCAATCGTAAAGGATTTAATCAAAACAGAACGATATGTTTACATAACATGTTGTGGTTTCGTTGAACGGTTGTGTTTTCAAAATTTGAAGGTCAGTAAGTTCCGTTTGAAATAATCACTTCTTTGTTTATTCGTTGCAGATGTTCATCATCTCGCAAAATTTTCGTAAATGGCATATTTTTGCAATTTACCAAACGATCGCATACGACAATTGAGAATGGCAACAAACTGTCGATGCATTCGACTAGTATCTATATCAAATCTCTATCTGAGATTATTTCCATTATAAATGCATCAATTACCAATGTTTTCAATCGCTGAATAATACAAAAAAATTCGTAAACGCCAACAAAAATTGACAATCGCCCAATTGGATAACATCGTTACATGAATATGCATTGCTGATTTCATAAACAGTTGCATCTCCGAAATGTGACCATAAAAACAAAAAACAACATTTTCAAATTTATGATTACGGCGCATAATCCACCAAATCGCACGTATCATCAAGATGAAAATGCATTCAACAACCCGACCTATTCCAATGTTCTCATATCATTTTTCTCTTTCATTCCTTTCACTCCAAACCTTTTGTCGTAATCAGAGCTCAGCTCTCGAAGCTATTGAAAAACTTGAAGTAAACTTACCTATATGATCGATATTTCGTCCGAAAATAATGCAGTAATACAGCTCAATTTCGAGTGAACTAACACAAATTCCATGTGAAACTGCCAAGAAAGTTTAATAAGTGAAGCCATCCAAATTATTTGAATAAACGAATGAATAAATAATTTCTTTACGGCCTAAAGTTAATACTTCATTCATACTTGGAGGTTATCAGTGATGTGCTGAAGCGATATGTTATCGACAAAACCCATCATAACAACTTGACATATTACACTGAAGAGAAAGGTTTTTTCAGACGTTCACTCCTAGGTTCTTCACAAAACGAGTGGCTTAAATGACCTAAGTACCGCCTGTTCTATACATACAACTCATCTAGGCTATTCGTGGGTAATGTGCGCAAACTGATGATCTTGAACATCCATTAATACTATTTGAATAGGTGTTTCTTGCTATTTTTATTCGACTTGCATCTGTTTCGTTCGAGCCCAAACGATATTACATATCCTATGTTTCATATCAGTTCTCAGAAATCTTTTTCACATCACTCAGATAGTTCCATCACTGTGAGACAAAGCAATATCTGAAAAACGAGTGTCCTTGTTTCAGTAAACACGACGCACACACTTTTGTTCTGGTTGAACGAATCGTTAATTGAGTATGTCCTTTATACTGTGGTCATTCCTCTCAATTAATTTCGCTTGTCACGTTCGATTTTTTTTGGTTCTGTGAAAATTTTGATGTTCCACTTTAAATGTTTTGTTCATGTTTCACCCGTCTTCGATGACACTTATGCATCGACTCGGATATAGTCATCTGATTATCGCTTAGTTTTTAGTTTCTCTCACACAAACATAATTTGTCGTTCTCATCCCTTGTACCAGTTTTGCGATGCGATAACTAAGAGATTATTTGGCTAGCACTGCTCAGGATTTTTTGAGTATCAAAATAGTTGACCTAACTTACTGGAGCTATCGACGTTGATGTGTCATAATGAATATTGTGTCGTAATAAGCCAGCCTCATGCAAGAAGCATTTGACTGATACGGGTAATGAATATTGATTCGTTGTCAGTGTTTGTGCAATCAGAGTGAAGGAAGTGGCTTATCATTTGTGCGTTGCTAGGTAAATATTGCATTCTTAACCTGAATTCAACGTTCTCTTTTATTCAGAAACATGTTCGTTTCATATCTTCCAATATCACTTAAGGTCGAATCAGCAAAAATTTTGAATAAAACATATAAACCTCAGCCAGGATACTTCATCTGCGGTAACCGAGAGAAATTGTTGTTAATATATCATTTTTGACATAAATTGCTAAATGATGAATTGATTATAAGCTGAGATGAAGATCCTCTTCACTGATGTACTGTAATCTCTGGAGTTCTTTTTTGTTCACTCTTCAGACCAACAGCTGCTCTTTGAAACGGTTTGCTTACTTCCCACGTTCGACTGCTTCAAGTATTTTTGAACGTTTATTGATTGAGCTATCCAAATGTTTCTTTTATTCGAGAACAGTCAAATTTAACTATTCGAAATTTTCGCTTGCTGAATTTTTGTTTTACTTGCAGCGCATTTTCGCACTTCGTTGAATTCTTCTTCGAGCTCTGAAATGAATCGCAAATCAAGAAATGGGAATAATCAATGCATTCAATTTCTGCATCTTTCTGCATTTCGCACTCCAGAACGCTGATAGAAATTTCGATTGCGATTTGAATGCAAATCAATTGAAATCAACAGAGTGTTTAATTATAAGAACACGTATCACTGCATGTTGATCAGCTTCTATCCGCACCGTTGAAATACCAAGAATTTCTTGTTTCGTTTCTCTTTTTTTTTATGGAATTGAATGGTGACACTTGGTGACACTTGCTACTGTTCATAAATCAATTGCGGTGCACTTGTTATGACTTGTGCTACAAAGACGACATCTATTAAACGATAGAGTTCTGATCATTTGTCTGATATTGTCTTCAAAGGTGTTTCATAACAATTGTTTTTGTACTTTCTTAAATTTATCGACATATCTATGGTCGATTATTCATTATCTATTTACAATCTATCAATATTCGAAATTTACTTGTTATCTGTTTTAGAGGAGTTCAAAACGTTGAACTGTTGAAGAAAGTTGTATTGCTAGCAACTCATACAGAGTTGACTTATTGACTTATCAACATCTAACGTGTTTTTGCGAACTCGTAAACAGAAAAGATTCCATAGTTCATCTTCTCGAAGAGTAGACGATAAGCAATCACTATAAGCTATTCTTGGAGAGTTAATGATTGTATGTTTTGCGATCAATATTCCAAGATAAAACTGACTCATCTACAGTGATTGTTTCTCATCGCGTTTTCTCATTCATTATTCGAATCGCAACAAAAACTGAAGCTCTTTTCGAAGATGCACCAACACGCTTGTCTGTCGATGATGTGAACAAATCTCTTTCCATCATCTTGTTTCATGAGAAACTCTCGATTGTGTCTGCTCATGCGAACGTACCTAAAAACTGTTCGATTCATGGTTCACTGATGAATGCTTAACGGTGATACTGATGATTGTAATATGCGATCATCTCGCCTCGAATCAACCACAATAACTTGTTTTTGTGACCTGAATATTTAATAACAATGTATTCAAACCAAAACTTGTTCTTCAGATCAACTCTGCTCGCATCGTCGTTATGTTGGTTTTTTTCCTTTTTTACATGCTCCGATATCTCTCTTCTCACATTGTTAGCTCAATTGCATCTCAAAGCATTCTCGAAGGAGAACGTTTCACTTTGTTTCTCATCAAATATTTGCTATCGAACGAGAGATTTTTACATGAAAAGAGTTGATTGAATAGGTCAAACGATAACGAATGAGTTGTACTGACGTTATGTGATGAATAGAAAATGTATTTGGTCCTTACAATTTCATATTCATTTGATCGAAATATATTTTGGTTTGTGTTTATGAGCGATTGATTTGATGTTACGATATGACATGAGCTGATGGAATATTCAAGTCCAAAAAACCAATTGTAGACTGATAAAATTCGTAGCTGAATACAACTGAATTCACCCGTCACTACCGGTCGCTCGCCATATTGCAATTTTTCGTTCTGAACTCGTACATCAAATCTCGTCCTCCCATTCTCCTTCACTTGCTCACTCCAGCATTTATAATATGCCGCTGTATAGTGTGCCTTGTAATGACATGGCCAGGATTTTTTCCAAGGGAAAGGGAGGGGGCGCAAAATGGTCCGATCCAAAAGATAGCTGAATTTTGGTGTGCGTTTCTCTACTTTGATGTTTTCTCCTTTCTCACCCCCCTTCTCTCTTTTCTTGCTTCGTATACCCATTTTCGTCTTTCTTCTCCCTGTTTCCCTCTTCTTTTCCTTTTTCTTTTACTCTCCAGGGATGGGGGGTGGGGGGAGGGTAGGGGGCATCCCCTACACCCACCCCCCCCCACTTTGTACGCCATTGATGCCTTGTATAAGGAAGACTTTGAAGTTTACGCCAGTGAAACTATTTAATTTGAGTTTCTTTGTAACTTCATCACAATGAGTATGCAAATTACCAAAACGGAAACTTGTTAACGGAGCTAAAAGAGACTGAAATGTTGAAGTGCAGAATGCATGGGATGGTTCAGTTGTCGTGCTTTGCATTTCAATGATCCATTTTGTGTTCCAACTTCAGTTAGCACAGAGAAGTCCCAACTGTGGAGGCTAGTTTTCGATAGAATTTTGTATGTGTTGATTTGTATAGATAATAAAGTCTGTCGAAGTTAATTGTGTGAAGAAACGAGTGTAGAAAATGAAAACTCTCCAACTGAACCATTGTCGTTTTGCGTGACTCATCGAACGTTTCTTTTTGGCCATGATCTTTTTCAAATCATCGTTCTACAGCAGTTGCGAGATGTCTCAAACTATTCAGTTGATTGCAACTTTTGTTCTCGGCCATTTGAATTGAAACAGAATTGCCGCACGAATTCATCGTTTATGATCCATCTCATTGTGATCGAAAATGTGGTCTATCGACAAAGAGTTTGATGGCTCCTTTTAACACAGCATTATTGAAGTGCGAATTTTAATGTAAACTGCCAATGTAAAGCAGTTGCTGTATCGAAGAAGAAATGCCTGAAATTAATGCATTACCGGTAGAATAAAACAAAATAATGGAATCTGATAAGATTGATGATAAGCTTTACATAATCATTTTACAGGGAGTTATCGGCAACACTGTGGTGAGAACAGCTGGTTTTTGAATTTGTTCTCGTCCGATAACGCAATCATCCAGAGAGAACCTCTCGAGTTTTTATGCTTGCTTGATATTTGAATCGATGCTCTCTGTCTTATCTGCAAGAGTGAGATTGTTGGATTGATTCAGCCATCACTTTTCTTTATTCACTGTTGAACAGCACTCTGCTGAACTTGTTGTGAAATCACGATGAAAAATTCGTCAAAACAGAATGCAGCAAGTGTCATTAAACACTGCTTGCTTGAGTTTGAATATTCGCGAGAATATTAAAGTGAATGTCTTCATTCGCCTAATCAACTAATTCAATCGGGAAACTTACATTCAGTGCTCATATTAATCAACACAATTTTTTATTGTTTAAGGTATGCTACAAAAAGTAACCGTATGGCGGATATTTGGATTTGCCGTATTACTTAGTGTATTGGCGATGGTTGCATTGAACAGCTGTCGTGGGATAGTCCAACTGGGTGCCATAAAATCATCATTCCACGAAGCCTCATCTCCGTTGCCAAAGTCGAGCATCAAGCTCGACCATACACTGCCTCACATGCATCTCAACTCAGCCAGTTCACTGCGCATAAATTCATCCCATCCTCAGAAGCACGCTGAAAAGACGAAAATTGAGGCGTTGAACAAAATCACGAAATACGACGGAAATGTAAGAAGAATTGCCGCTTATCAACAACAAGTTGATAATCGTAGATTGCAATTCATATTGTTACATGAATTTCAACTGATTACAATTAGCAGTCAGTGTTTGCTTGCTTGGAACGATGAATTTTGATAAGACACTGCCATTGCAATCACTGATCGGTCACTTGATCGAATTTTCTTCACATTCGATGAAAAGTTTGCTGTTAGGATGACATTGCAAAAGCTGGAGGAAGTTAGGCGATTTGTTTTGATGAGATACGTGAACAGATTAATCGTTTGAGGTATTTGTGATGGATGCTTACTTGATAGACGATCGACGAATTCGTATCACAACAGTTCGTAGGTGTAGATCACGACAACGACTCATTCTGCATTTACGTTTCAATGCCACAACCTTTTCGTTACCTACTCAGAGTGATCCAATTAGCTCATGCCCGTGGTGGTTTGCCAAGAGGTATTGTTCTTATCTCGAAACAGATTCATTTGGCTTTTTAGTAGGTCCGAATCGAAAATTTCAGTGAGCATTCTGAAAGAAAGACGAAAACATTGGAGTGATACAAAAAATTACTGCTATGTGAACAATGTTTAGCGATCCAATAGAATGGGTCGTGATTATATAGACAAAATCTTCCGCATTCACTTGAGAATACCAAGTTATAACGCATTATCTACAGTAATGGTTCTCTGAGATGATGATTTTTATTACTTAAATGAGAAATAATAACGCTGTACCAGAGGCATTTCAATGACAGGTATCCTAATATGAATTTCAGGTGTATCTTTGTTGGGTACTTCACCCATGTCACCTTACCCAAGCAAATAATGTCAACAATTAAAAGCGATGCACTGCCCGAGGCACTGATCAGTATCGATGAGAAAGGAAACAGCACTCGATATGCATTACGTTTGCACGATGCCCGTGCCAACAAATCGGAGCCCAAACATCAATTGGCCGTTTGCTTGCAACCGATATTCCTTCTCGCCGATTGGACCATTCTCATACAGTTTTTCGAGGTTATTTCTTCGATGCTGCTTATTTATATTCGATGATAGGTCAGTTGGCATGCCATTACTCACTTCTCAACCATTATGTGCTAAATGCGTCTAGGTAAGGCAATGACAAAAGTGCGTTTCGGATTTCACAATTTTCCGAGAAATTTGCGTGCATTCTGCTTTTCGGACGAATGAAAATGGATCCATCAAAACCACTAATCAACCAAAAACGAACACTCACTCGAAAATAATACGACAGCTTTAAATGCGATAATGCAGTAGGTCTTTGAATAATGCGATAATGCAGTAGGTCTTTGATCTGTCACAAAAGAAACAGAATTGAGATGCTCAAAATTTTACTCAAAATTTTGTCAAATCATTAGTGACCTCATAGAATGGCTATGAAAGAGAGCAGAGGGCCATCTTCTGATTTGAAGTTCGCGAATTTTGAGTAAATCTGTCATCGAGAGTTCAGTTAGAAAGGGAAATGGTCAATTATTCCAGAAACGCTCAATGATTTTAAGACATGGATAGTGCAAGGAGCAACAAAATTTTATATATATGCTCATTCAATGGCACCCGAAGTGGATGCTTTGCTGAGGGTATATGAAGCAGATACTAATATCGACGTTGAACGTGTTCATTGGGCACCTTTACCTGTTAATAAGAATACGTCAGCTGATGATGACCCGAACTATCTTATTTATAGAACAGAGGTTAGTTTATGTTCGCCTGTTTTTTACCCGTTATCTCATTTAAGCATTTCATCAGAGGGAAGTACAGTGCGAAACGTTGCACACATATTTAAAATTTGACATCCTCTGTGAATTCGCATTCCATCAGCCGAATCTGAACTTGAAGCATGCCAATGCAGTATGTCACTGATATGAACACCAACTAACAGGTTGTAACAGCAGTGAATGACTGTGTCCTTCGTTCGCGTGGACAAACGAAATACGTTGTTTCATCGGATCTCGATGAAATAATTGTACCGTTCAAGAACGTCTCTCTACTCGACCTCGTTCACTCACTTCACCACGATTCACCTAAAGTTGCCGCGTTTGTGTTTTTGAGCAGTTACGCTTCATTTCAGGTGATTGATCAATGAAATTAGTTTATTGCACTCCTCACATTCAAAAGTTATTCAAGTGCATGAAACGTTCAATATTGTGATGCTTCAACCAGTTCTCAAATCAGAATTATTTGTGCATTTTATTAAATGAACATGCTGAGAATGTTGGGGCAGTAGATCGAGTGCACGAATGGATTCGCACTGAATACTGAACACCATTAACGGTTGATGTGTTGACAAACATTGAGGGTTCACTTTGGTCACTAAAACATTTTTGATGCAGCGATAATCATTCAGTTTCGATGTCTATTTTTTGCTCCGTATCTGCAAAATAGCTATAAAATTCATGAGATGATTCCTCGTAAAGATCACATGATGACTGCAACGATCTTAGAAAGTTAAATATGTGACACTGTCATCACTCGAGAATTTCTCACGAAGACAATTTTGATGATATCAAAAATTATTGAAAGTTCACCGAGGTAGTTGCATACAGAGCTGCTGCTATACGCAATCATTGAGTCGATCAGGGTAAAATTGATGCAGCGATTTCAAATTGTTCATTTCACATGTATTTCAGAATAACTGGACGAAGGCTGATGGTCCTATCGGGATACAGTTTGATAACTTTTTAGAGGTGGAACTTGAAGAGTACGTTTGGCCGACTGGAAAACGTAGTAAGGTTGATGGTTTGGTGATTTGCTTATCACGGTTGAATTGAATGCATAGAATGCACGTAGCAGTCGTTTGTGTGTATACCAATGCTATCATTTAGAATATAAAACGTTATCAAATGCACGAAGCGTTTCATCGCGAGGATCGTTTTTTTTNTTTTTTTTAGTCGGGGCTTAGCATTGAAACGTTCTGCGTTAGAAACATATCAAATAACACGAACGAACTCAACTTCATTGGAATAATTTTAGCGAACTCAATGTTTCAAAACTTTAAGGTGAATAATGGTCTTCTTGTAAAAGAGTAATCCTGTAACCATTAAGTATACCAATATTTGACGTCCGAGATTTCAAGTATTAGCAGAATCAGTTGGCATTCAGTTCGGTTTTATTATGCTTGTAAGCATTCCAAATCTGAGTTAATTCATTTCAGATAATTATGATCCCCGAGTTGATCCTCACCACGCATGTACATACAGTGCTCCTTACTGAAAAACACTCAAAAATTGTGGCTGTACGGGAAGACACTGCGCTCGTATTTCATTTGAGGTGATATTTTTACGTTGATCATAATTATATTTGAGAGTGACACGCAGAAAGTGGGCAGTATAATGATTTTACAACAAGAATTAAATAATCCGGTGAATCAAAGCAGCGACAAATTAAAAGGTGCAACGAAAATTTGGATTCCTAAAACTGTTGAAGAAAATAACCGAAAAAATCATTCGAATTACTAAAAAATGTGGTGTGATAATTATTCAAGCAAGATGACTGTTCACATTGGGATATAAGAAACTGCAGATTTGGCAGGCGGTTTGAACTACGATTTAGAAATCCTCTAAATATTAGAAAAAACCTAGCATGCTGTCCAAAAAAAATCGAATTTGGTTTCAAAACTCTAAGTTCTTAATACTTAAGTGAATTAGGTGATGGTTGCTTGAGAAAATTTCATTAATTGACGTTGGGAATGTGGAATTGTTGACCTGAGAGGTATGGAAGAGTTTGACGTTAGACAAGAACGAAGCGTGAATATCTGGTTTTTAAAAAGATATCGTGGTGAACATGACCACTCAGCAGCATAGTTTCGTGTTACTGCTTAACACAGTAATTTTGAGTGCTAATCGATGAGACTCTTCAGAAGAGTAATGAAGAGGGAATACGTCACAGTGAATGAGACGAGGATAAGCACGGATTTGGCACGATTCGTGAAGCCGTGTAATGAACTGTGGAATAAACGTAGCAAAATGATCCAGCACATTCCCGGCACTGAAATTCTTCATTCAAAAATTTGGCCCAACCGCGGTTTGAAGGTTTTTTCTTGTTCAATTTCTTAAGCACTGTGCTGATAATCTTAATTCGGATCAGATAATCGTTGATCAATTACTGATATGAATTTTAAATTGAATGCTATTGTCAAGTCGATGAGAACACTGCTGTTGATAAATGATCGATGATCAGCAAACCATTGACAAGCGTTCAAACTAAGCTCAACCTTATCAGTTTTAAACGTTGTGACTACATTAGAGATGACTATCACTGCATTGATAGTTTTGAACTGTGAGTAGTTAATTGCAAGCTTAATTCAGGAATCTTTTGAGGTAATGTCTGAACTGGAGAAATGCCTCGTAGAGGATTACGCACGTCGTGCGAAAACGTGCAATTCGCCATTCAGATGCATTGATTCTATAGGGACGATCAAGCGTAATGAATGGATTTGGGCAAAGCAAACGTGGACACGTTTGTAGCGGATCATTTTTTGAACTGAACCTAGCCAGTGACCTGACTGGTAATGTGATGATAGTCTCAAGTGGATGATGCTTTTTTGAGACTTAGCTCATGATCCAGTTTTGCCATAGTATGAATCAGTTTCATTCAAAAATTAGCAAAAAACCATTTCCACACGGTCGTATTTATTTTGCGTCAAATTATGAATTTGAAGCATAAGAATGCTTTGAATATCTCTGATTGAGTTTTCAAACGACAGAATCGTTATTGTGCATATTCTCATCCATTTGTGACGATCACGGAATGATGGAGAATTCGCATTGGCAATCTGTGATAACTTTGAAATGACCTCGTCTAGAAAATGTGATCTCAGAATTCGTTGCTCTATTCATCGGTCGATCGTTTCCACTTCAACAGGAGTGAATATGCTCTTATGAGTACGCATTGACGCCGCAATAAAAATTTTCATGATGTTAAAATGTGAATGTATTCCAATGTTTGTTATAAAGCAAAAAACATTTCATCATTTCATAGCGTAATAAATTGACAATTTATCGACAACGAAAGAGTGCAATGTCCTATTGAAGAAAGGCAGTGAAAGTGGTGTTGTTGAATGAATTTGGTGATAAGCTTCGCTTAAAGTATGATAAAATTTGTAGAGACTTATCAGCAACTTTATTGCTATAATCGTGGCACTAAAATGAGATTCAAAAATTAAGTTGTATTGAAACACACATGAACGCTTCTGCAAGCTTCCAATTCGTTTGATGTACTCAAACGATTGTTTATTAAGAAAGCGAATAAGATCATTCAAATTGGGTGTTTCCATTCGTTCTCAGAGTTAGTCCATAATTGAGTATGAGGAATAGGATTCTTAAAGTGAATTAGAAATTGGAAATTATCAATGGGGATATTTATGAATAATGGATTGGAACAGCAAAATATCACTGCATTTCAGCCAGACAATCAACCCTCTTAGTGTATCATGGCAACGTTACATCACTTCTTCTTGGCAATGCAACAGAATCTCAGGAATACTCGATATTATTTCATCTTATAGAACCCAACCTATCTTGGATAGATTTTTTTGGTTTGGCTCCATTTCATCCTACATTATTGATGCCATGCGCTGCACGATGCGCTTAGCACCGGTCTAGATTCAACGTTTCGTTTCATTCTATTTTCAAGCCCGACCTCAACCCACAACTCGCAAATGTGTGCTTCTTAATAGCGTTTTTTGTTGAACTGTAATGCGCTTTCGTAATTGATGTCATATAGAAGCATAGTTATAAAATTGGTTATAAACGCCAACGATCGAAAAAATTTGAGGTGACGTATAAGACGACTAATTGATGAAATTGTGTGTTAAGCGCATACAATCATTTGAATTGGAGACAACTGATAAGAAACTATAAGACAGTGAACAAGTGATACTACCGAACAGAACTTCAACAATTCAATTCCATCCATTTCAGTTCGATTCGCCAAGCTTATCCAGAGCGGTCGAATTGCGTTTTACGGCCCTCAGAGGGCATTTGCTCTCCAGTGCCCATTTCAACAGGCGATTACTTGCGCATTTCCCATTTCGAAGCTGTTGATTTGTTCTATAATAAGCTTGAATAAAGCACCTAATCAATTCAGTTTTCATATTTTTGATGCACTACCGTAATGCCAAATTGTTATGTGCTAATGCGCATCGCATAAAAATTTTCACGGTTAGTTTCTCGTTTTACTATTTTGAAAAGAAAAATTCTTGCATTATCATCTGGATGGAAGTTTTATAGTGCAATTAAAAGATTTCAAACGTATTGAAGAGACAAATGAAGGGAAACGTACGCATTCTCCTCATCGATGAACTACATCTCAGTATATGGAGTGCTTCGAAAAAAAAGGTCATGTATACATAAGTGAACAGAGCTCTTTTTCAGAAATAATAGAGTTAGAAGAGTGCAACAGCCTTGAAAGCCGATGTGCCTTGAAAAGAAGTTGAATGTGTCGGTGAGTGTGCCGGTTCAACGATCAACAATCACTACGACAACATTGCATACTTCTGATAATGGCATCACGCGCTGTGTCTTCTAGTCAAGTGTACAGAAACTCTTTCGTCTTATTGTTTAGTTGAATCATTTCAGCATCGCATTCTTCATAATACATCGAAATACTTCTATTTTCTCTTCGCAATCAAAACATCAACGGTGACACTGATCGACATCACATAAGCTAACAATTGGCTTTGCAGATGAGTATTCACGAAAATCATTTGATAGAAACATTTTCTCGTTTTCATCTCTATACGCCAAACTGATCACCTATAAACTGTTGCTTTACGAATTTTTCTTTTGATGCAGTATTTCCTGTATTCAATGTACATCTAAAATATGGCCGTTTATTAGATGATTACGATACTTCAAGAATGTTCCAATTTGCTTAAACTTACACCTCTACTCTAGTTGCTACATTTGCCAAGGATGTACACTGAATTACAGAAGTGAATTTTGTTACTGATCTATCAATGGCATCATTATTCTCCAGGTTTGAGTATAATAAAAAAGCGAATGTGTGCAAAGGACATCATAATGTGTTCAGATTCTCTCCTTCGGCAGTGCTGCATCGCCATAGTGTTTGGAAGATGCGCTGAATCTCATAATCGTTTTTGCATTTGTTATCTTCTGTTCTCTCATGAATTCACCATTCATTGCTGCTATCGATTTTGCTGGACCGAAAGATTTTTTTTGGAATTATTCATTGCGAAGCTTGGAGTTTACTTATTGGACGCCACTCTCTTATCTAATCGTATAACTGATAAAAAAAATCGTGCTGCAATGAATGATAAATTCAAAATGCACTGTGATATCAACCAAAAATTCGAAAAAAATTTCGACAATATTCACAGTTAAAACAATGTATCGTAGCCTTATAAATGGCATTCGGACGAACGTTCAATATTTCGACTAAGTCAAATGTTCAAGACTTGTCGCAGTGATTTGACAGTGCATGGCTGCTGCCAAGGAGTTAATCCCTGCCACAATTCATGCTTTTACTGTTTTTGCTGCGAAAATTTTTCATTTTTCTTTCATTAGCATTCAATTTAAAATAATATTTATTAGTTGCTCTCATCTTGATGTTGTTTTCTTCATTGTGCCATGATTATTTAGATGCGTCCAATCGTATCGTTTCTAATCTATTTGTCTTATTTGAACGTTAATTGGCTGCTTGGAAAGTTATTCAATCCGAGTGAATGGCAGATTCATTTGAGAAAAGTTGAAATCCATTCAAATGTGAACAGCTGAAAAGATGGTGAGATATAAAGCAATTTCGTAACGCTAATCACCTCTCACTCAGCTAATGTTTATTTTGTGTTCAATTTTGCCGTTCAACCAGCCGTCTGTGATATGTGTACAGAAAATATCTGGAAGTCCGTTTTGAATTTCAATATTGTTGTGAATTCGAGTCGTTGCATATTGTGCATTCCTTTCTAATTATCGCATAAAGTCGCTTATTGATGTAACATTTTGCAAAGACGATAAATGACTGGTTGCATATACGCAATATTCAACTTATAATATAATACATTTATCATAATCATTTCCATAATCGTTTGCTTTATCACTGATATTTTTTTGATCATTTCGAGTGTTTCTTCTGATTTCATTGTCATTTTATAATTCATAAATTGTTGATATTGTTGTGAAGAACACTGGAGCGATGTTTACTGGTCACAGTATCAAAAGGCGACCCGGCGTGGCCCATATCCCGGGATCCCAGGATTGCAGTTC